GTGGAAATGATTTCAAGTAAAAGGTACCATGCAAAATTTCTAAATGTTAAAAAAGAGGGCTTCCCTGGTGGCGCAGTGGTTGAGAGTCCGCCTGCTGATGCAGGGGGCGCGGGTTTGTGCCCTGGTCTGGGAGGATCCCACGTGCCGCGGAGCGGCTGGGCCCGTGAGCCGTGGCCGCTGAGCCTGTGCATCCGGAGCCTGTGCTCCGCAGCGAGAGGCCACAGCAGTGAGAGGCCCGCGTACCGCAAAAAAAAAAAAAAAAAAAAAAAAAAGAGCTTGCTCGTGTGTGTTTAATGAATGATGAAGATATCTAGCCTATTGAAAACATGCTAGAAATTATATCTTTGCATTATTTAAACTTATGAAAACATTGTAGGTGTCAACTTAAAAATGTAAAAGGGAGTGCATTATTTTTAAAAATTGTTTCAAGGGGAATGTAGCAAAGCATATGAAAGACCACTGCTCTAATAAAGGAAGATCAAGCTTAGTAAATGATGTGTCAAGGTATACCATCACAGACATGTATGCTATTGAGAAGTAAATAAGGTTGACCCCTGTACCACACCAGCTATCTGAACTTTCATAAGTTGTCACACTTCTGATACAAAGGAAATTACACAGTTCTTGGCTCTTAAAAGTTACCCATTAAATTTAAATTCTCTTCCCTAGAAATTAGTAGTGGGTTTTATATGTATCTGGATTTGACAATCACAAATTTTGGTGTGGGAGGTTCTTCACTAGCATTAATGTTAGGGTATGAATGCTTTCCAAACATCTCAATAAGCCGTGTCTAGTAAGCCCTGGTAAAATCGTGCTTTATTCTTCACTCCACAGGGTTATATAAAAACATTCTAGGGCAAAGAATACGGATGGTCAATTAAAATAACTAAGACAAGAAGTTGTTCTTGGTTTCTTCATTCTCAATTTTACTTCATTCTCAATTCAAAGAAGAACTACTGCCTTCAAATAAGAAACAAGTGAAAAAAGAGAGCTTATAAATACAGAGTACAGTTTGGTGGTTGCCAGGGGCAGGGTGTGGGGGTTGGGCAAAATGGGTGAAGGGGATCCATTATAAAATAAATCATGGGGATGTAATGTACAGCATGGTAACTATAGTTAATAATACCGTATTGCATATTTGAAAATTGCTAAGAGAGTAGATCTTAAAATTTCTTACCATAAGAAAAAAAATTTTTTTGTAACTATGTATGGTGATGGATGTTAACTAGACTTACTGAAGTGATCACTTTGCAATACTTACAAATATCAAATCTTTCCATTGTGTACCTGAAACAAATGTAAAAGTCAATTATACATCAATAACTAATATACATAATAGTCTACAAAACAAATCACATACCATGATTCTCACACTTGTTAGGATATTGAGGACTGTGACATCATGAGGGCAATTAGTGGTTCACCATGAAATATTTATATTTGATAATAAGTAAAGTTGGGGAAATATATATTCATTATAAAAATTACAACAAAATAGGTAAAAACATCAGTGCATCGAAATAACTACATATTAAACTAGATGTAAACTATTTCAGAATTTGTATTGCTTTGTTATTAAGACACCATTACTAAATATGAGCCAGTTTTTGTTACCTACTAGGATTCCTTTATAAGGAAGTAGAAACATTGTTAAGAAAAGTTCCTGGGAAGAAAAATAACTTGGAAAGTTATATTAATTTATTTTCCAGCAAATTTTAAAACGCTCATGTGCTGATTACTTCCCTGTTGTTGTTTCAGTTCCAAGCATGTCTTTCTCTTATTCTGTGATGCGAGGGCTGGAACTCTGACAAAGACATTTCCTATTCTCCCTTGCTAGTTAGCTTCCTGTTATAGTTTGCCAATGGAGGCATTAAAGGGATTTTGGGAGACAGAAAGGGAGAAGGAACCCGCTTCCTATTTTCCAGTTTTTTTAGTATCTCTCTAGCAGCATTTAGATATATCTAGTATATCTCTAGCAGAATCTCTCTAGCTTGCCTGTAGAATCTTTCTGCTTTCTCAGCACCAGTACCAAACCTAGTTAACAGCCAGCCTGACACCCCTCTTCAGAGCTTTTAGGTTCTAGTAAATCCATCTCTTCCCCTTTGTTCCCCAAGCTCTAGGGTTTAGCTGCTTCCTGAAGTTACAAATCTCTCCCCTTTTTGCTCTTTGAGGCCTTCCTTCAAAATTGTGTAATCAATTTCCTGTAATTAAATCTTCTGTTTGAAATTCCCAGCATAGTTCTGCTTTCTTGATTAGACCCTGATAAACAGAGTCCTACGACAATTTCTTTGAGCAGTACAAACACTTAGTTGACATACTTTGAGGACCACTGCCGTACTCTACTGGAGATGACTGGGCTCAAACCAGTGTTGGACTTGGTGGTATGAGACAAGAAAAATAAAGTACAAAAAGTCTTCTTATGATCAATTACTGACATATGAAGAGATAGTCATACATACAGTTTCTCTAAAGGTACACCTTACCAGTCAGGAAGTATCTTAAATTTCTAGCACTTTAGAATGAAACATCCAAGAAGATCTCTAACCTGCGTGATAGTTAAGTCCAGGGAAGAGCTGTGTGATGTATTTGTCAAGCACCAAACCACAATTATTATCCAAAGAATTCTTTTTTTTTTTTTTTTTTGGCTGTGTTGGGTCTTAGTTGTGGCATGTAGGATCTTCGTTGAGGCATGTGCGATTTTTCATTGCAGCGTGGGCTCTTGTGACGTGAGGGCTTCTCTCTAGTTGTGGCATGCAGACTTTCTCTCTCTAGTTGTGGCACATGGATTCCAGGGCACGTGGGCTCTGTAGTTGTGGCGCTCGGGCTCCAGAGCATGTGGACTCTGTAGTTTGAGGCACGTGGGCTCTCTCGTTGAGGCACCCCAGCTCAGCAGTTGTGGCGGGCAGGCTTAGTTGCCCCACAGCATGTGGGGTCTTAGTTCCCTGACCAGGGATCAAACCTGCATCCCCTGAATTGGAAGGCGGATTCTTTACCACTGGACCACCAGGGAAGTCCCATCATCCAAAGAATTCCTAACTTGTAAATTTCCCATTAAAGCAACCCAACTATTAAATGTTTGTGGAGCCTTAAAAAATAAGTGCTTGCTTTCTTCTGAATGTAACAATGCAATGTAACAACAGTTTCACAGAGTAAAGTGCAAATCACTTTAGTCCTAGTAGCCAGACTCCCCTTGTCCAAGACTCTGGGGCTTTAGCTATTTGAGGGCTCTTTCTCGGGAGGGGATTGGAGGGAATCTCCAAGGATGTGTTCTTATTTCAAGAACTTCCCTTTGCTTCCACACACCCCCACTTACCGAGATCTTGACTTGGGTGCACCTTCCAGATCTTCCAAGGTCTGGGGAAGAATGTTGGTTTGTTTGGAACCTTCACTGACAAAGACTCTCTCCTTGACCAAACTTTTAGTCAGACTCCTCTGAACCCTCTTCTTAACTAGGCTTCAACCTTTGGGCTTCAATGTTTGTCTTTGCAACACCCACTTTTAGCAAGAATTCTGTCATGTCAGTTTAGCTTGAGTTCTTGATATCTGATCAGTCTCAATATCTAATTAAATTCCTCATCCACCCAGGTGGTATCTGATCACTCTGGCCAGCCCTCAGCAAGAATCCTGTTGGTCAGTATAGTGAGAATTCCTCCCTACCCTTTATGTCTCCTCTTTGTAATTTTCCATGAACTGACCACCCCCCAACCCCAACTTGCTCCTTGCCTATAAATCCCCACTTGTTCTTGCTATATTTGGAATTGAGCCCAGTTCTATACTGAAGTCTCTTTCCCCCTATTGCAATATTTCCTGGATTAAAAAAAACAAAACCCCTCAACTACTGTTCAGCTCTGGTTTTCTTTAACATCACTCAGGGGTTCACATTCTTGTCCTCCTGACTGTGGACAGTTTTTCTTAAAGCTGGGCCCTAATTAAAGTTTTAAAGTGAAAAGGAGAAACAGCAATAAACCCCAGAGCTGTTGGCTACAACATTATAAATGGCTTTGGTGCAAATGAGCATCTTCCTACAACTGGAATATAATTACCCTCTGTGCCTGGCATCACATATGGGGCAATCAGAGAAGGGATAGTAAAAATAAGGATAACACTGACCCCACCCATGGCCGGAGGTGAGGGGTTGGGTGGGGGTGGGAGAACAGTTAGACCTGGAGACAGGCACACACACAGACACACAAACACTCTTCTCCCACGTACTCAACCCCAAAGACAAGCCCAGAAACACCGTCCATTATGGGTAAACTCCTGCGATCTCTGGGATAAGAACACAGTTACAGAAACGTCATGCCCAAAGTCAGCCACAGTTCTTCACACACCCACAATCACTCTCCCATTCTTGGCGGGACAGACCCACAATCTGTCACACAACGACCCACACTCACGGGCGTGACTGAAAATACAGAAGCTCACTACACCGACAGAACCCGTCGCCCCGTAGTGAGCAAGCACAAAAGTGTGCAGCGACAGTCACACACACAAACCGCCCCACCTGAGCATTCAATAACAGTCACGGACGTGCACAGCTTCACCACTCCCTCACACACAGTAGCCGAGTCATCTGAGTGCCCAAGATCGCCCAGGGTCGCACACAGCGTTCCGGGTACCCGCACCTGCGGCCTCGGTCACCTGTAGCGCAGGCGCGATGTCGAGGCGTGTCTCGGGGCCCTCTGGGAAATGTTGTTCTTTCCGCAAAGAGGCCGAGGCGCAAAGCGTTCTGGGGCTCGTGGTCCGCGTGGTCGGAAGGAGAAGCTGAGTCGTTAGTGCAGGTTCCTGCAGCTGGAGTTTACCCAGCGGAGCTCGGTGTCCCGCGCGCCTCAGTCCCCGCCCCGCTCCGCCCCGCAGGGGATTCTGGGAGGCGACGTCGCCGGTCTCGGGTCGTTGGGCGTGTTTCCAGAGCCAGCGGCGCTGGGAGGTGAGTAGGGCCTGGCTAAGCGCGAGAGCTAGAGGGCAGGGCCGGGCTTGGGGTGGACCGGCAGGGAACGGGGTGGGAACCAGGAGGGCGCCGCCGAGGAGACTGTGTGACAGGCTGCGGGTGTGACAGGGTGTGATCTTCTGTGTCACCGTGTATGTAATTGTGCGCGACTGTGACCGTCTGTCTCCGGTATAAAACTCCGAGTCTATGTGTGTTTGTGCGTGACTGTCTCCGCAGGTGTAACTGTGTTATTGTGTATGGGTTTGTGAGAGATTGCGGGTGTGACTTTGTGTGTGTGTGTGTCGCTGTGTGGGTGTGTGTGTGACTGTGTTTGACCCCTTGTCCCTGTGGATATAACTGCGTTTGAATGTGTGTGACAGAAGGTGTCATTACGTGCCCATGACCATCTATATCTGCAGGTATAATTTTGTGTGAGTAATTGTGGCAGGATATGTGACTTTGTGTGGTATGTCACTATGCATGAGATTGTGTGTGACTGTCTCTCTGTTGGAGTAACTGTGTATCGTCATCTCTATCTTTGTGTTAATACCACTGTGTATGTATGTGACATTACAGTCGCAATTATGTGACCATATATATGTGTGTGATTGGGTGAGAATTTGTATGTGTATGTCAGACCTAGTGTGTGATTGTGAGACACAGAAAGATTAAAATTACTCACCCACATTCACACAGTTACTAAATGACAGAATCAGGACTTAAGCCCAGGCAATTTGGCTCCAGAGGCCTTGCTTTTAATTGCTAAACTCTCTTGATCTTTCCCACGCTGCGAGGGTGAAAAATGGGGGCCCTGAGTTCTGAGGGTGTTGAAGAGTATTGTCTGTGGTCTTGGACTAGGACCCTTCTGGACATAGAACTTAACCTGGGTATCTTTGTTTGGTCCCCTTGTGAGTAACAGAACCCAATCTAAAGACACTGTGGTGAAACCATCCTCATATTGGCTGCATTTGGGGGAGGAAAGCCCAACCTGAAAGACCAGTCTTCCTCTCCTTAGGCCATGGAGTTTGAGATTTTAGGTTTGTCCTTGTCAAAACTCTTCCATGTCTGGTGCTGAGAGAGGCTGATCCCTGGCTCTTTTTCTCACATACCAAGTGAACTAAGTGTTTGGTTCTGACTTCACGTAATAAAGAAAAATGCTCTCATTTCCTTTTCAACTGTGTGTGTAAAATCTAAGTGGCAATAAGGGTGGCACTTCTCTACGCCAGGAGTTGGCTCAAGCAATCTTGACAGTGAGGAAAGGTTCTGACAGTTGGGTTGATTTGCCCAAGGTCACATAGCCAATGAGGAAAGGAATGGAGAGTCAGTGTGTGTCTGGGGGTCTATATAAAGCACAAGTCTTTCACAGCACCTTTCAGTGACTGATGGTTCATCTCAAACTTGAAAAGTATTATTCAAATGATACACAGCGATTTGAAACAGCAATTTAAAAGTTTTTTTTTTTTTTATGCATGTGCTACTTAGAGCTCCCAGGTGCTGAGAAGACTTCACTGATTCTCCTCTTGGGTTGCAAAGGCTTTTATAAACAAATTCAAGCTGCATTACACTAAGGAAATAATTTTCTTACAGATTGAGTTGGTTAGTGCAGAGTAGCAGAATTAGGGGGTTGTATTTCTTAAATTCTAAGTCAAACACAACTATCTTTGTTTTCAGAGTGAAGAAATGTTGGCTCTGAGAAGACAAGGAACTTGTTTCAGGCTGTGCAGTTTCTTATTGGTTTGGTATTGAAATTTGTCAATGTTTGCCTCAGGCTGAATTTCTGTGGAGTAATAGAGGTAACACCTGCCACCTCCGAATATGCTTCTCTGAAAAACATATAGCATTGATTTCTCAGGTTATGCTGAATATTTCCCATACAAACATTGTGGTCTCTTGAAAGAGGACCAGTTTTTGAGCCACACTGCAGTTTGACTCTTATGACTTTGAGTTAGCTGTTTAAGCTTTTTGAACCTCAATTTCACTTGGTGGTAAAATGGGGATAATAATACCTACCTTTGCAGTTTTGTGAAGATTAAATAAGATAATGACATACACAACATGTGTAACATTGCTATTTATATTACAGGAGCCACAGTAAGATTTATTTATTTGTTTATCAAATATGTTTTTAGCACTTACAGTGGTTCTGGCATTATTCTAGCACTAGAGATATACCAGTGAACCCAACAAATCCTGGCTGTCTTAAATCTTATACTGTTGTTTGGGAAGACAACAGTTAACAGAAAAAAGAAAAGTAACATGTCCAATGATGTTAAATGCTAAGAAGAAAAATAAATCAAGATAAGGAAAAATAATAACTGGGAGGGAGATTCCCTTTAGGTAGAATAGGGAGGTCCCTCCAATGTTGTTAACAATTGAGCACAGATAAGAATGAAGAGAGGGAATGTGCTGTGTCCAGGCAGAAGGAAAAGCCAAGGCCACAGCCTTGAAAAAGGAGTGTGGACAATGTTTGAGGAACTATAAGGAAACCTGTATGCCTGGAGTAGGGTGAATAAGGGGGAGAAGAGTGGGAAATGAGGTCTAAGGGGCAGCCAGGGCTAGATCATAAATTGTCTTATTGGTGATAGGATGGACTTTAGATTTTGTTGAGTTCAGGCTGTGTGTCTTTAATATCAGTCAGGAGTTCAGGGGTTAAGTTCAGCTTTGGCCTTTTTTCTCAGATCTTGGGACAGGGTAGGGCTGGTCCATGTAAAGAAACTAGAGACCATAAAGGGGCAAAAAACTCTGTGAGTCTCAGATCAGCAACATAGGGCTGCTCTGCCATTTTTTTTCTTGTTTAACTCTCCCTTCTCAGGACTTTGTTCTCCAAAAGAGAAAATTGAAGAAGGAAGGAAGAATGGCTGTTGGACTATGTAAATCCATGTCCCAGGTAAGTTGATGTTTTCACTTTGTTTCCAGAAATTCCACATCATTTTTCAGGACTTTGGGACCTCAGAGAGAGTCACAAGTAGCCCAGTGAGTGCACTCTTCACTTCTCTCTCTCCACTATTTGTTCATATAATCCTTCTACAAAACATTTAGTTGCTATTTTTACTCAGTGTTGTGCTTAAATGTATGGTGGAACAGAACTTTTCCTCTTTAGATGAATCACGATTTGTTGTGTTGGAGATGAATGCAAGTGAAATAAAGGATGGAGTGTGATTATCAAATAGGGAGATCAAGGATGGCTTTTCTGAGAAAGTGACAGTTGAGCAAAGAAAAACCTGAGTGAAAGTAGGGAGTAAGTTTTGTGGAGATCTGGGAAGAGCTTTAAAAAAGTAGAAGGAATAGCAAGTACAAAGTTACTGTGTTGGGAGCATGTTTGATGTGTTCCAGGGATAGCAATAAGCCAGTATCCTCAGACAGAAATGTGCATTGTGAGATTAGAGCAGTAGCTGGGGACCAAATTATGCAGGCCCTTAAAAGTCATGACCAGAACTTTGATTTTTGTTCTAAAGGTGAAGGAGAACCATTGGGGTATTTGTGATGTGATTTGATTTATGTTTTAAAAGGAAAATAAATAGCAGAGAAGTAACAGTGGAAGGAGGGAGGCCAGTCAGGAGACTGCTGCAATAATCCAGGTGGGAGGTGATAGCTGCCTGGACCATGGTGGTGGCATTGGAGCTGGTGAGATTCTGGGTGTATATTGGAGATATAAAATATGGGATTTGATCAGGGATTGGTTGTGGAGTATGAGAGGAAGAAAGAAATCATGAATGACTACAAAGATTTTTGACCTGGGCAATTGTGTAAATGGTCATGCCATTTACTGAGATGGGAAGACAGGGTGGGATGAGATAAGAATCAAGAATTGAGTTCTAGATATATTAAATTCGAGAGACCTTTTGGATATCCAAGTAAAGTATTGATTATATATCTAGAGTTCAGGACTGGAGATGTGAATTTGAGAGTCATTAGTGTATTTAAAGCCATGGGACAGGATGAGATTATCTTGAGGGTAGGGTTGTGGTGAATGTAGATAGGAAAGAGGTCCAAGGACTGAGCTTAAGGCATTCAATATAAGAGGCTGACAAGAAGAGGAGGAATCAGCAAAAGAGACTAAGAAGGACTGATGTAGAAGGAAAACCAGGAGAGTGTGGGTCCCGTGAGTCAATAGTAGAAAGCATTTCAAGGAGATGATCAACTGAGTTAAATTCTTCTGAGAGAGACTGAGGAAGATGCTAGGACCATATGGGAGTACTTGGCAAACAGCATTTTTTTAAAAATTTCAGGGTTTGGTGACCTTCAGGGATGTGGCTCTAAATTTTTCCCAAGAGGAGTGGGAATGGCTGGACTCATCTCAGAAGGATTTGTACAGAGATGTCATGTTGGAGAACTACAGGAACTTGGTATGGCTTGGTAAGGATATGTATCCCCCATAATTCAAATCTTCCCTATGAGATGTTTATGCTTCCTCCATTGGGAATATCTAGGGCATCTTAAATGCTTAGCTGGATTTCTACTTCGTGTTCCCAGGAAATTATTCAAAGTAGTTTCATAGAGTTATAAATGAGTATAGTTCCCTTTGCTCTAGAAAGATGGTTTGGGATAGCAGCATTAGTATGGCGTGGAAATTTTTTTAATTGCAAATTATGGGGTCCCACTATAGACCTACAGATTCTGGGAATAGGCCTAATAGTCTGGGTTTTAATGAGCTCTCCAAGTGGTTCTGATACCCATTAAAATTTGAGAACCACTGTGGCTTCTGATTCAGTAGGTCTGGTTGGGGCAGCCTGAGAATTTGCATTTCTAATAAGTTCCTAGGTGATGGTTCTTCTGCTCTAGTACTTTGAGAACTGCTGCTATGAAAGAAGCTTTGCCTCATTCTCCATTCAAACATCTTTCCATTCTCTGGCCCTTCCTCTAATGTCCTTTCTTGCCTAATGACCAAGAGATTGAGTCTGAGTCTGGAACAGCAATAGCAAGTTGATTTGTTTATCTATCTGTCTGTCTTGCTGGCTCTCATTTTTCTTCTCCTGTAAACAGGACTTTCCATTTCTAAGCCCAACATGATCTCCTTATTGGAGCAAGGGAAGGATCCTTGCATGGTGGAGAGAGAGATGTCAGATGGTCAATATGCAGGTGAGTGACGGGGAACAGAGAGGGCTGTTGTAAGGTGACAGCACAAGTGGTCATAAGAAGACTGCCCTGCATTTGAGGAGGCTGTCCTGGGCTTCAGGGGGTCATTTCCTCTCTATTTATATCAAGTTATATTCTCAATAATATTTCTACCTCTACCCTGAATCTTGTTCCTTTTAAGTTCTTCTTTCCCCTTTATGGATAGAGTTATATACATTTCTAGATTTCTTTTTAGAGTTTTTATTTTTATCAAAGTTATGCTTGCACATTGGTTGAAGAGACAAGTTGTTTTATAAGGCTTATTCCTTTAAAAAAGGAGGTCTCTTGCCCGCTTCCCAGTTTCCCTCTCCCTAGAGGGATCCACTTTCTTTACTTTTGCAGCTTCTTTTGGTGTCTCCTTCACGTCTCTAATAAATATGTTTATGTTGCTATTTCTTGATTGTTTTTTTCAGGTTTAGTCCTCATCCAATATCTTCACTAAGAAAATAAGAATTTAGTACTTTCTTATCCTGAATCCAACATGTGTGTGAGCATGCACGCGCACACACACAATTTCTGTCTTCCTATCTCACTGATATCATAACTTTTAAAGTTTTATTTATTTTTTTAATTGAAGTGTAGTTGATTTACCACGTTGTGCCAATCTCTGCTGTACAGTAAAGTGACTCAGTTATACACATATGGACATTCTTTTTTTTAATATTCTTTTCCATTATGGTTTATCACAGGATATTGAATATAGTTCCCTGTGCTATAAGTAGGACCTTGTTGTTTATCCATCCTATATGTAATAGTTTACATCTGCTAATCCCACACTCCCAGTTCTTCCCTCCCCCACCCCCTCCCTCTTGGCAACCACAAGTCTGTTCTCTATGTCTATGAGTCTGTTTCTGTTTTGTAGATAGGTTCATTTGTGTCACATTTTTAGATTCCATATATAAGTGATATAATATGGTATTTGTCTTTCTCTTTATGACTTATTATGGTAATCTCTTAGTTGCATCCATGTTGCTGCAAATAGCATTATTTCATTCTTTTTATGGCTGCATAGTATTCCATTGTGTGTGTGTGTGTGTGTGTGTGTGTGTGTGTGTGTGTACCACATCTTCTTTATCCTTTCATCTGTAGATGGACATTTAGGTTGTTTCCATGTCTTGGCTATTGTGAATAGTGCTTCTATGAATATAAGGGTGCATTTATCTTTTTGAATTATAGTTTTGTCCAGGTATATGCCCAGGAATGGGATTGCTGGATCATATGGTAATTCTATTTTTAGTTTTCTGAGGAACCTCCATACTGTCTTCCATAGTGGCTGCACCAACTTACATTCCCACCAGCAGTGTAGGAAGGTTCCCTTTTCTCCACACCTTCTCCAGCATTTGTTATTTGTAGACTTTTTAATCATGGCCATTCTGACTGTTGTGAGGTGGTACCTCATTGTAGTTTTGATTTGCATTTCTCTAATAATTAGTGATGTTGAGCATCTCTTCATGGGCCTGCTTGCCATCTGTATGTCTTCTTTGGAGAAATGTCTATTAAGGTCTTCTGCCCATTTTTCGATTGAGTTGTTTGTTTTTCTGTTGTTGAATTGCATGAGCTGTTTGTATATTTTGGAGATTAAGCCCTTGTCGCATCATTTGCAAACATTTTTCTCCCATTCCATAGGTTGTCTTTTGGGTTTTTTTTAATGGTTTCCTTTGCTGTGCAAAAGCTTGTAAGTTTGATTAGGTCCCATACAAATATCTTAATTTTTATTGAACCACTGTTCAGTGTTTACATTATTATGGCTATTAAGTGCTAGTCGTAGCTGTGCTGTGCATATACCAAGGTTACTTTTTCTGTACTTTTTCTTTTTCTTAGCATTAATAATTATCTGGGGTTTTGTCTATTTTTTTCCCTTAGTTTTCTATATACATATTCCTAACTCAATTCTTAACTCCTGATCAATTGTTTAAATCTCTTAAGACACTCAGACACATTAGGTTATCTATTGATTTTACCTTCTTGGAGAAATCTCTCCAGAGTCTTCAGATATGCTTCACTCTAGACAAATGGCTCATTACATTTGCTTGCATTCTATTTGGGTTTATCTAACGTTTTCTCATGATTAGATTGAGGTGGTGCATTTTTGAAAAGAGTGCCACAGAAATAATGTTGTATCCTTCTCAGTGAGTGCATCATACCAAAGGATTGATAATATTGATATATCTTATTATCAGTGATGTCAATTTCCATCACTTGGTGAAGGTGGTATCTGCCTGGTTTCTCCATTGTAAAGTTACTATTTTTCTATTTATAATTAATAAATATTTGGGGAAGATACTTGATACTATTCAGTTTCTTCTGAAACTTTTGCCCACTAATTTTAGCATCCACGGCCCTGTTGGATCTTGTCTGCAACAGTTACCACTGTTGTGGTATTGACCTAATGTTGACATTTTTATTTCCTTCTTTTATTTACACATATTAACTAGGATTGTTCTGTCTGGAAGAGCTGTTTCACCTCTCCCATTTGTTTATATATTAAAATATTTCTTCATATTTATGGAATGATGGGTTTTTTTTCCCTATGAGTTAAAACTACTGTATCATTATTTTGTTGCTCAAAGTGTTCCAGCTTTGACCATTTAGATCTTCTTCAAGTTGGTTCCTATGACCTTTTAATATGCCCCACTTCGTGGTTCCAGGTGTTCCAGGTTCATCTTGTTTTCCTTTCCCCAGCCTTGAATCAACCACTTCTCCAAGGAGCCCTGGTTCCTTTTATTGGGAAATGATGTTTAAAACCAAGGTCTGGGTACTAGGTGTACTTATTGCTACTGGAAGTGATTTCTTCTAGGCCCTCACAGCAGACTGAGCTGGAAAATATATGTATGTATAGCAACACACACTTTTAGACAGACACACTTTTATATTTATTTCTGTCTTTATTTTTTTAATACATTAAATTATTCGTTTATATTGATACCTTGATTTTAGTCCTACCCTCCACAGGGTTTATCATAGCCTTTCTCCTTTACTTATTTGTAATTTCTTCTTCTGACAGTGAGAAGCAATGTATTTAATTATTTCCTCCATAGTGTACACACAAAGTAGTTTCAGAATTTCTAACCTATTCCTCTGTGAGAAATAAATTTACTAAGTAGATTACATTATTTGTGTTTAGGTACAAATGTACTTTTTTAGTCTTAAGTATTCAGTCAAAAACTATTTTCCAGAGTTACTTAGGTTAGTTCTTCTAGGTTCATTTGTTTCTGTTGATTCCTACTACATCCTGGTTGATTTTCCTTTTTTTTTTTATATCTGAAACATTACTATGCTCCTAAGAATCAGACCTTTGCAAGAATGTATCCTCAGAAAAGTGTCGCTCCCTCCTCATCCTTACTGTATTGTTTCTGTTCCCTACTTCTTCCTGCCCCTTTCTTACCCACCCCTTGTAGATCACCAGTCTTTATTTTCAGGTTGGTCCTTTTTATGTTTCTTTTACACAAATGAGCAGATATACCTGTAGTTGCATTTGCCCTTTTCACTTAGCTATAACGACATGATTTGAACTGCGAGGGTCCACTTATATGTGAATTTTTTCAATAAATACTTACTACACGATCCGAGGTAGGTTGAATCCATTGATGCTGAACTGCAGATTCGGAGGGCTGACTGTAAAGTTATACCCATAGCCCCTGTATTGTTCGGGGGTCAGCTGTACAGGAAATCACTCCATATGAATTCATGGAGAGCTTCCTCATTTTTCTGACAGCTGCAGAATACTCCATTCTGTGGATGTTATGGTAATTTATTGAATACTCTATAATGTGTGAACATTTAGGATGTTTGCAGTAGTTTACAATTACAGACAATGCTGCTATAAATAACCTTGTAAATATGTATGTTCCTGTTGTTGAGGCTTTATTTTCAGGGTTGTTTTGTAGATGTAGGATTGCTAAGTAAGTGCATATGTAGTTTAGGAATTGACAAATTCCTCCCCAAAATGTTGTACCTGTCTGCTTTTTATATTAGTTTCTTATGGCTGCTGTAACAAATTACCACAAATGTAGTGGCTGAAAACAACACAAGAATATTATCATACAGCTCTGGATCCAGGTCAGAAGTTCAAAATGGGTCTCACAGGGCTAAAATCAAGATGTTGGCAGCCTGCCTTCCTTCTGAAGGCCCTCGGGGAGAATCTGTTTCTTGCCTTTTTATGTTTTCTTTAGGGCCTTTATCATCTGTTTATTTTCAACTTTGTAAAATCACCTTGTTTTAAACGTGAGCTTTATATGCAGTATAGAATTGAGTTTTGCTTTGTGAACCAGTCTGGATATCATTTCAATTTAATAGGTGAAAGTCCAACCATGTTTTTAATATGTTTGGGCTTAATTCTGTACATTGTTTTGTGTTATATTTTCTGATTTTTACAGTTTTTAAAAAAGACTTTAGCTTGTCTGTTTTCCTAGGCTTTTTTTGGTCGTGTAATACTATAGTTTTTATAATAATTAGAAAGATTCTTCTTTTGTTCTAGTGCCTTCACGGTTATAGGGCTCTGTTTCTTTAGACAGTATTTATTCCTTCTATTACTTGATTGGTCAGCTTTAAAAACTAGCCTTTGATTTTTTCACCTGTTACAGATGTGTCAATAAGTAACCTTATTATACTCCCCGCCTTGTTTTCCCAAATTTTGTTACTTGTATGCTTTTTTCATTGTCCAGGCATATTATATTTACATGCTCTTGTGTCACATTTATCCCAACCTTTCCTTTTGTCTTAATTCTGTAGTTATATATATTTAGTGTTTTCCACTAGGTCATTTTGCTGAAATTTCTCTGGATTGGCTGAAATCTGTTCTCTAGCAGTTTCCTCAAAAAGAGTTCATGCAAACAATGTCCCCCTAAGCTCTACCTTGTTCATAATTGGCCATTCCTTCCTTAAGTTGTTTATAGCATAGTATTGGTGTTGAATGTTGTTACAAAGAAGTCTGATGCCAGCTTGATATTTTCCCTTTATGTATAAGTGTCTTTATATTTTGTTCTGATCTCCTAGATGGGTACAGGCTAGGGTACGGCTACGGGTTAGGGTTAGGGTACGGGTTAGTGTATGGTTTATGGTTAGGGTACGGGTTAGTGTATGGTTTATGGTTAGGGTACGGGTTACGGTTAGGGTACCGGTTAGGGTCAGCGTATGGGTTAGGGCTAGGGTACGCTTTAGGGAGAGGGTATTTATTAAACCTCTCCCACTCTCCAGATATCACTTAGCACGTAAAGGTATATTATTCGGGGTCCAGCCATGGAGAAGACTTTAGACACTAGGATAAGAGAAAGAACACACACATTATAAATAAATCACATTAGGATTTTGTTTCAAACCTGTACATTAAAACACTAGTGCTTAGGAAATCTAATGGAGGCAGAAGCAGTAAAGGGTAGTTTTATGGGAATAACATCACAGATTTTCTGTAGAATACACAGATTTTGACTGGTTAGAAAGTTAAGGAGGAATGCTTTTGTTCTGAAGACATAAACCCTCTTCTAAATTGAGCTGTTATTGGAAGTTAGAAATTTTTTGTTGCTGTTGTATTGCTTTGTGTTTTCATGATTATTCTGCTTGCATCTCCCTTGTTAAACCTTTGATTTGGGGAAGAGTGCCATTACTGGAAATGATTTTACAGAATTCTCAAAAACAAAAGGAAATGGTTCTCACCTAAATATTAAGCAATAATCTCTATACTGGTGTACTAACAGAATTATGATTCAGGGATAATAATTCTATGAAATGTAATTAAACACACAATATATTTTTTTCTTTTAAATTTCCATTGTTACTTTTTTAAAGTACAATTGTAATTCAAATTCTTTGTAACAAGTGGAATTTAAAAAGATTAAAGGAAAAGATAATATTTTACCACTTGCCATTCTTTCCCACTCCCTGAAACGACCAGCATAAATGTGTAGCTTTCTTATTTTATCCAGGTGTTCTATACATCTGGAACATCATGTTTCTCACTGTATAAAAACAGATTTAGCTCTCACAATTTTTTTTTTTTTTTTTTGGCGGTACGCAGGCCTCTCACTGTTGTGGCCTCTCCCGTTGCAGAGCACAGGCTCCGGACGCACAGGCTCAGCAGCCATGGCTCACGGGCCTAACCTTTCATTTTAAAGTCATTTTATCAGGACATGTTTTAGTCTTGACCATTTTGGGTCACTTTTTCCTGGTAGATATGTTCTCTCTCAGGTTGGAGAGTCAAGTTTTTATTTCTGGAAATATCTTTTTCTTTTTTTACTGATGAAGTTAAAAATATAGGAAAGTATAGAGAATAATATAATAATATAGTAAAGGATTTCCTATCGATAAACAATTTTTGTGTTTCTGAATTGCATACTTCATCATGTGTATTATTTATTTAATATACTGCTTGATTCAATTTTTAATATTTAAGAATTTTGCCTGTTATCCATGAGATTGGTCTGATATAAGAACAGTGAAATAGATCAGTGGAACAGTGAAGAATGTACAAAAATACACCCATGTATATATGAGAATTTAGTATTAGATAAAAGTAGTTTTTCAAATTAGTGGTGTAAAAAGATTTTCTTAAAAGTTATAGATAATATTTGTATAATATTGGGTTTTGGAAAGTCTTTCTTAAAATGACATAAAGGCCAGGCTCTATAATGAAAAAATTGGAAGATTTGAGTTCATATAAATTTTTTAAAAATTTTATCAGAAGCATTATAAATCAAGATGACATGTGACAATAAAATTATAAATGAAGATGACATGTGATTTGAGGGAGAAAAATGCTCAAAAGCCTTAATGTCTTAAATTTATAATGACTTCTATAAATCACTTAAAAGAAATGCCAGTGTAATTAAAATATATGCAAAGTACCTGAATAAGGAATTCACCAAAGAAGAAACCATAAAATATATAAAAGGTACATAAATATATATGAAAATGCTCAATTTTATAATCATAGAATTGCAAATTAAAACAATAATGAGGTACTCTTTACTTGTAAGGGCAAATATTTTTAGAATGGTGTTAGCCAGTGTGAATGGGTTCGAAGACATATTTCATGTTGCTGACAGGAATGTAAACTGATAAAAAAAAAAAGTCATAACCATGACTTTCTCCCCTCTTTCCTCCAAGTAAATTCTTTAATTTCTTCTATAACAGTTTTCTTTCTCTTTGGAAGGGTAAAAAGGAGACATTTGCTTTCTTGATATTTTTCAGAATGGGACTCTTTGTATGAAATCAAGGCATTATCTCCAAAATGGTACATTGATGAAGAGGAAATATCCCAGGGGATGATAATGGAAAGACTTACAAGTTATGGCCTTGAATCCTCCAGTTTCAGAGAAGCCTGGAAATATGAGGGTGAATTTGAGCAGCATCAGGGAAATCGGGAGAGTCATTTCAGGCAAGTGACAACTCTTAAGGAAATCTCTGCCATGAAAAGAGACAATGAATATAATAATTCTGAGATAAATGTTCTCTTGAACTCAGTACTTTTAACACAACAGAGAGTTCCCACAGTAGAACAAGTACATAAATTTGATATTTATGATAAAATGTTCCCCCCAAATTCAGTTCTAACTGAACATAAAAGACTACATGCTGAGAAGGAATCTTTGATAGGTAATGAATGTGAAGAATTCAACCAGAATACATACCTTAGTAAAGATGCAGAAATTCCTCCTGGGGAGAAACATTACGAAAGTAATGATTTTTCAGATCTCTTAAGTTTCCACTCATTACTTACTCAACATCACACAACTCATCTTGGAAAATTATCCCATGGATACGTTGAATGTGGTGCTGCTTTTAGCTGTTATTCGTTCTTTACTCAACCTCAGAGAATTCACAGTAGAGAGAAACCATATGCATGCAATGACTGTGGAAAAGCCTTTAGCCATGACTTCTTTCTCAGTGAGCATCAGAGAGCTCATACTGGGGAGAAACCATATGAATGTAAGGAATGTAACAAAGCTTTCAGACAGAGTGCACACCTTGCTCAACATCAGAGAATCCACACTGGAGAGAAACCCTTTGCATGCAATGAATGTGGGAAGGCCTTTAGCCGTTATGCCTTCCTTGTGGAACATCAGAGAATTCACACAGGAGAGAAACCATATGAATGTAAGGAATGTAACAAAGCCTTCAGACAGAGTGCACACCTTAATCAACATCAGAGAATTCACACTGGAGAGAAACCCTATGAATGTAATCAATGTGGAAAAGCCTTCAGCAGACGCATAGCCCTTACTCTGCATCAAAGAATTCACACAGGAGAGAAACCCTTTAAATGTAATGAATGTGGAAAGACCTTTGGCTATCGCTCACACCTTAATCAACATCAGAGAATTCACACTGGTGAAAAGCCGTATGAGTGCATCAAATGTGGGAAGTTTTTTAGGACTGACTCACAACTTAATCGACATCATAGAATTCATACTGGAGAGAGACCTTTTGAATGCAGTAAATGTGGAAAAGCCTTCAGTGATGCTTTAGTTCTAATTCATCATAAGAGAAGTCATGCAGGAGAGAAACCCTATGAATGTAACAAATGTGGGAAGGCCTTCAGTTGTGGCTCATACCTTAATCAACATCAGAGAATTCATACTGGAGAGAAACCTTATGAATGTAATGAATGTGGGAAGGCTTTCCATCAGATCTTGTCCCTTAGGCTACACCAGAGAATTCATGCTGGAGAAAAACCCTATAACTGTAATGAATGTGGGAACAATTTTAGCTGTGCTTCAGCTCTTCGACGACATCAGAAAATTCATAATAGAGAAGCTCTCTGATTATGTATAACAAGTATAAGAAAGAAAACATTTAGTCACCATTCAGTCCTTATTAAATAAATATCAGTGAGTTCTTCAGTTAGTAATTCTATGAATGTAGTACCTATGGAGAAGCCTTCAGTTCATGAGCATCCCTTATTTGAAATAGCCTGAGTAGTAGACATCTGTTACTTTTGAATCTGTTCTGTACCCTATTTGAGACTTATCTCACCCTTAATGCATATCATTCTGATGAAATTGTTTAATCAGAAAGAGCAGTAGATTGGTCATAGGCAGGCCAATTATTTTCTTCAACCTCATGATGGATAAGGGATTTACAAATGGCCCTGTCTAGACCAGTAGAGTCCTAGGCGGTCATTGTTATGGGTAGTAAGAAAAGATTTTTTTTCCTCACCCCAGAATTGCAAGTTTCAAGGATTTAGTAAGGTTAAAAACTCACCAGTAGCCTTTTTGCCACCACATGAAGAAAGCCTTCCCAGGATAAATCTAACACAAAGGAAAACTGAGGTCAGAGACAGAAATCTGAGGATGCTGTTTGATCTTCTGTATCCAATCATGTCTGAAGTCTACACCATCTTTTACTTTTTCATTTTTGTGATCCAATAAATTTTCTTTTTTCTGCTTATGTTAATTTGACTTGGGTTTTTGCCTCTTGGAATCAGAGTCCTGACTCATACACCCCATGTTTGCTACACATGTGAGAAAGTCTTAATCTTTTATATGGCATAATTGTTTATCCTGAGGATAAGCCTCATAACAAGTATATGAAAGTTAAATACACAGCCTTCATAAAGCTGAGAGAATTGTTACATTTTATTTGTTGATAAAAACTAATTTAGTATTCATTAGTCTGTTTCACAATAAGGAAGAATTTTTAAAAATTCACTTAGTGAAACTTATTACCAGGCTTTCTCATAGGGAATTAAAATCATTTGTGGCAGTGACTCACTATAGACCTTTAAAGTAAGATTGGCCAGCTAAGAGAATAATGGATCCATCAGTTTAATGAATGGCTCTTCATCTTAAAGGAATTATTTGATTTTCTACTTTCAGCATGGGTTTAAACATATCATGTGATAGAATAAGATGGAATTGTAAGTGAGGTCTTTTGTGGGTGGGTTGTAAACTTGGTTTAAGAAGTTTATAGATAACTTCTTTGGAACGAGACATATTAGACAAGACATTGCTGGCAGACAAAAAGAATGAGCCATTTTCAACTAATGGTTAAAGTAAAGCAGTTGGAGTCTAAAATTTTTAGAGTATAAATCATTACTATTCAGAGTAATGAGAAACAGGAGGGTGTGGGGCAGTATATTCCTGTTTTATCTGAGTGTATATACGAAGGTAAACTTTAATATGGAGACGTTGCCACTTTGAAGAGTTAGAACCAGTTATAATCTTGGGCATTGTCTGGAGAGCATCTATAGAAACAGATCAGGACAAATGAATTATGAAAAAGTGAAGGATTTACATGTGTATATATGTGCGTGGAGCAAAACAATGACTACTAATATAATTTCTTTAATAGTCAATTTATACTTTAATAAAAATCTGAAAATTATTTTTCTTAAATATTAAGACAAATTCCCTTTGAACAACTTAAATTACAGACCTAGTATAATTGAATACTTCAAACCTTGAGCAGAAACAAATATAATGGTTTTAAAACACTGCCAAACTTGCATTATATCTAATCTAAAATATATTAATAATCGTAAGCTAAATTCATGTAATCATTCCTTTATTCTCATATTTTCTGGAGGTATAGGAACACTTATTTGAATATGTTCTAAGGGTTTAGTTATAACTTACATCAGAAAGCTCCTCAGGGTTACTCTAAACTTACTAAGCTTAAAGGAAAAAAAATAATGACTCAGACCAGTGATGAGTCTGAGTTGTTCACTAATTGATTCTTGATCTAAGTATGGCACCTGATTTCTTCCTCCAAGGTGATATAAACCCAAGCCACTGATTCTGTTTTTACAGTTAAACTTCACTTGTAATGTTGATAAAATCTGTTACACCCATGCCTTTAGCACAGGTGTTTGTACTTTACAATCTGATGTTTCTCCTCACAATGAGGTACCTAAATTTTGTTTATCTGCAACTATACAATCCATTGTCTTATTGTGATATACTGACTTGATCTTTTAGCATTATAACTCATGCTTTATTAGTATGTTATAGATATTAGGACTAGCTAGAGATTTCCTATCCTAAGAGATAAGAGTTTGAGTCTGTTTAGTTAATTATCTTTAGGACATGAACTAATCCATTTAGGACTCACTGGTTAAACCTTTTCCACTTGGTTGAGTGTGATCAATGGCAATGAATTTTTGGATTTCTTTTTTAATCTGGTTATTGTGCTGAACGTATCTTTCTGCCTTGTTACAGTTTATGCAGTTTTTGCTTGTCATATAGAAGAGTTTTCTTTATTTACTCTTGCTTAAGTAGAAGGTTTGTATTTGTGTGTTTATGTGTATGTGTTTTATTTAAAATTTTTGTATTGAGCACCTCTTCTGTTGCAGGCTTTGTTCTAATCCAGGCTTTGGAGGTAACAGTTGTGAGTTAAACAGACAAAAATCCTTGCCTTCATAGAGCTAATTTCTAGAGAAGAAGATAGACAATAAAAATATATATATAAGTAAAACTTATACTATGTAAGAGTAACTTCTAAGGAGAAAAAGATGAAGGAAGAGCTGGGTGACCAGGTTGATATTTTAGATTGTGTGGCCAGGGAAGGCCTTTTTTGAAGTTAACTTTTGATTAAAGACCTGGGAGAGATGAGAGATCTGTCTATTCATGCTACATATATACACACATACACGTACACACATATACACGTGTATAGCCCTTATCTACCTAACGGAAAGGAAATGCATATATGTATATGTATGTGTGTGTATATATATGTTTTATACTTTGTTCTTACTAAATTCTTTCTCATTTTATTATGCCTCTGTATTTATGTATTGCATTTTAACATTTTTCCTTTTAGTCTCATGAACTCATGGCCTTCTACAGTCTTAACACAGTTTAATTATAATGTATATATATTTTTTGATGCTCAAATTATCAGAATTTAGCCATTGGGGCCACTTTAAGCTAACTCCTTGCTCCCTTCAGCACTGCTGCCCTGACATCTCTGCAAGCAACTTTACTTTGTGGCAATAAAAGGATATTCCAGACCCATCCTAAATGTTTTCTGTCCGAAGTCATGAAGTTAGCTACCTTCCAAGGAATTTAGGGAGGGAGAAAACAGGCATATACTTTTGAAATGAGACAGGCTGGGACCTGGAACCTGGCACACTTTGCTACAGTGCGTGCACCTGGACAAATGTCTCTTGGAGAAACAGAATACAAAAAAACTATATAGGACTAAAAATAACTGCATGCATGCGTAGTTGGGGCAAATTATGAACAAGATACAAAAAGACCAAAAACCCAACTGCCACTTCTGAGGTGTCGAGGGCAAAATCAGGGTACTGCATATAATCCCTGCACACAGCACCACCAAGGAGGTGAGCCGACCACCTAAGCCACCCTTCCAGCCTGACCCTCACCCCATTTAGGGATCAGCTCACACCCCCACGCACACACCAAGAGCGAGCAAGGGCATCTGTTACTTGTTTTCTCTCCCTTGTGCTGCAGCATGAGTCCCAATAAAGACTTGCCTGAATTTCTCATCTGGCCTCATAGCAATTTCTATTGATTAAGGAGTCCAAGAACCTTGGTCAGGAACAGAAAGAGGTTATGAAATCAGAAATAGAAGTTTTCAAATAATTTTCCTCAGCAAAAAGTCTTGTTAGATGGATTTGGGGGCCTGAGAAAGAGTCTAAAGTAAGACTGCATTTTCCTTATATACTATATTTTCTATTGTTCCTCTTGCCCAAGAAGAAAACGATGGCCCACAGTAGAGCTCATTTTAATAAGAAATATATATTAATTACTCTATAAAACTTGAAGTTGTTTTAGGATTTGTGAATATTGTTTCAATAACATTGTTAAAAAAAAACCATTTGAAAATTGATAATTTAAAATTGCCTCGATTGATGTAAATGAGTCAAAATGGCTAAGCTTCTTCAGGTGTGTTAAAATTCCACTTGCTCTCTTCCTCCTAATAGAAGGTTTTCTTTCCTTTTAAAAGTATTTCAGACATCTCTTCCTGAGCAAATGCAAAGGTTTTTGTGATGTGTTGATAGAAGTAAATTTTCCATGGAGTCCTGTACCCTTTTAGCAGTTACTGTATTTGGATGCTAGGACTGCACATGAATTGAGGGCAAATTTGCTGCTATTATGATTGGGTCCCTTTTAGAGACAGCTGGAAAAAATGTTTCCTTTTTAGAGCATCATTTCACATTGATTCTAGTTCTTAGAATATTTGCCGTACCCTACTTTATTCACAGAGTTCAGGACAGGGAGACAATAAATTGTATGATAGAGAAAAGCAGATTGCTTGAAGCCATGAGTTGAGGCTACTTTAGTGACAGAAGAATGAGTCACTTTCCTGGTCAGCTTTCTTAAGGCATTTGTGTGGGGGAATTTCTCACATGTTCTTCCAGAAAGAGTAGTGGAAGTATCCACTCTTGATTATTGGCACATGTATAGTTGTTGGCATTAGACCTTCACATGGATGTCAGGTCTTTTAGTTGGGAGAACCTGAAAAGGTGATTATACTTCTTTCAGACTCAGTTTGGTTTTCTGTAAAACTAAAATAATTACAGCTTTCCATGTTTTTGTGAGGATTACTTGACTGTAATATATGTAAACAGTTAACATGGCAATTATTAATGATGAAATTAAGTAGGAAGTTGAATTGCATGCCTGAGAGCCAGCTGCTTATATGAGACAGAATTGCAAATTCTGCCCCTGTGTCCTGTTTCCCAGTGTATGGAGTCTCAAACAGCCGTGCTCCTAGCCCTTCTTTCTGATCCCGGAGAGGGAACTGCAGTTCCAGAGTCTCTTCGGAGCTCCCTGTTGGGATATATGGGGCTGTTAGGACTCTGCCTTCTATTAAAATAGAGGCCAGGAAGTGTATGGCTCTTGGTTTTTAAATTTTGCATTTATATTTTTGGACCTCAATTCCTAGTATATTACCAAAATTGTTTAGTCTAACACTCAGTTCTTGGTTCTTCCCCCCGTCGTTCCCAATTCCTAATCTCCCCCATGGGCACATACACATCTGTGTTTGGTATGCATCCTTAAATGTGTATATATCCCCTATCAAATAAGTCATGTTGTGTGTTTGAAATTTATATTATTGGTGTTATGCTATAAAAGTGTCACTTTTTTCTACTCAGTACTATATTTTGGATTGATCATGTTCTTCTGTGCACAGTGCTGTTATGCTATTCAGTGCTTCTAACATTTGCATAGTAATTCATAATAAATGTTTACTACTTTTAATTTATTCATTTCTGCATACAACTCCTGGCTGGCACAAAGAACATCCTGGTATGTGTCCCCTTGTGGACCTGAGCTAGGTTAGACTACTTGCTGTAGAATATTGTGCAAAGGATTTTTTTGCACAGTGTTATAAGGTACAACCAGATTACTTTCTAAAATGGCTGCAACTATTTACATTCTCCCCAAGAGCACCTCTGTGTCCTTGTAAACACTTGATAAGTTTTATCTTCCTTGAATGTTTTAGTTTGCATTATTGTTATTGACTACTGGTGAGTTGAAGCTTATATCTCTATACTTCCTCATCATTTGGACCTTCTATCAAGTGGGTCTTTATTGTTTTAGCCATGTTTATCTCTTATCAAATAGGTCATCAAATCTATTTACAAAAGTTTAGTTAAAATGTACTTGTAAGTCCGTCTGGGCTTTAGGGTTTTTCTTCTTTTGAGGGGATGTTTCTATATTATTTCAGTGTACCAGGTTTATTCAAATTTTGTTTCTTGTGCCAACTTTGGTATTTTATATTTTCTAGAAATGTATTAATTTTGTTTAGGTTGTCAAATTTGTTTGCAAGTAGTCATTCATAAGATTCTTTTGTAATTATTCTAACTTCATTTGGATTCTTACTCATTTTCTCATTTACATCTTTGCTCTTTTATTTTTATCAGCTTTGACAGAGGTTTACCTAACTTATTGATCATTGATCTTCAAAAAAACCTATCTCTTGGTTTTGTTATCCTTTTCTCTTATTTTTCCTAATTCTTTGATTTCTTCTGCCCTTTATGTTTGTCATTTAATTCTTTTTTGAGTGTGCTCTGTCCTCTTAATCTACATTTTTGTGTTTTTTTTAACATCTTTATTGGAGTATAATTGCTTTACAATGGTGTGTTAGTTTCTGCTTTATAACAGTGAATCAGCTATACATATATCCCCATATCTCCTCCCTCTTGTGTCTCCCTCCCACCCTCCCTATCCCACCCCTCTAGGTGGTCACAAAGCACCAAGCTGATCTCCCTGTGCTATACGGCTGCTTCCCACTAGCTATCTATTTTACATTTGGTAGTGTATATATGTCCATGCCACTTTCTCACTTCGTCCCAGCTTACCCTTCCCACTCCCCATGTCCTCAAGTCCATTCTCTACGTCTGCATCTTTATTCCTGTCCTGCCCCTAGCTTCTTCAGAAGCATTTTTTTTTTTAGATTCCATATATATGTGTTAGCATACGATATTTGTTTTCCTCTTTCTGACTTGCTTCACTCTATATGACAGACTCTAGGTCCACCCACCTCACTACAAATAACTTAATTTCGTTTCTTTTTATGGCTGAGTAATATTCCATTGTATATTCCAAATCTACATTTTTGAATTGAGAATTTAGTTTTTTGTTTTCCCTGCAAATGTACTTAAGTTGTATGTTTCCCTCTACTACATAGGTTGTGTCCTACAGTTTTGGCATTTAGCGTTTTCATTGTTGTATTCTGTCCTATGCTGTTGCATTGTACATTTCCACGTTTTGTAGTTTATTTTAGGGGTTCCTCTTTAACTCACAATTTTTGGCTATCTTTTTGTTATTTGTGTCTAATGCTATTACATTAGAGGTTTATATTAATTCTTTGGAATTGAATGAGCCTTCCTTTATAGCCTCATATGTAATCAATTTTTATAACTGTTACATGTATATTCAGAAAGTATACGTATTTTGAGCTTTTGAGTATAAATTTCTCATCTGTTAGGGCAAACCATTAAACTACTGGATCTTTATCAATCTGATAAGTGGGAAATCATATCCCAGTGTAGTTTTTATTTGCTTTTTTCTTATTATGAATGGGTTTGAGCTTCTTTTCTGTGAATTGTCTATATTTCTTGCCCAATATTCAGTTGGAAAGTGACCTTTTACTTATATAGTAGGGAAGTTAGCTCCTTATTAAGTGATTTGCAATTTTTTTTCCAGTGTATTATTTGTTTTTTGAATTTGCTTACAGTCCTCTTTTGCCATGCAAAATTGATTTTTATGTTGTCTAATTTACCAATATTTTCTTTTAAGGCTCTTAAGTTTTGATTCATATTTAAAAGGCCTACATCTTGAGACAATTTAAAATGTTTCACATGATTTCTCCTTTACTTCTGTGCTTTCATTTTTTTTACATTTTAAGTTTTTTGGTAAGGATCTCATTTTACCCCCATATGGCTATCCCATTTCTCAGCGTCATTTACAAATAATCCACCTTTCCCACTTATTGTAAATGTCAACTCAAGCATATACTAAATAAACAGATGTAGTTTGGTACATTTATGTATTTCCTATTCTTTTAATACCTGTTATATTAAGTCTACTATCTCTTGTCCGTTGTTTTCAGAGAGGGGTTTTTGCCATCTCTGGCTATAATTGTGAATTTGTCTGTTTTTCTTTTTTAGTTCTATAAGCTTTTGCTTTATGTGTTTTGAAGTTCTTGTATTAAATGCCTAAACCTTTGGGATTATTATGTACTCTTAACTAATATATCCCCGTATCATTACAAAATGAACTTCTTAGTCCCTGGCAATATTCTTTGCTCCCAAACCTACTTTATCTGGTATTAATATGCCCACTCTAGCTTTCTTTTAATTAATCTTATCATAGCATATCTTTTCCCATCCTTTAACTTTTAACCTATTTGTGTCTTTCTATTTAAAATGCGTTTCTCATGAAGAGCATACAATTGGTTATTGTTTTTAAAATGCAGTCTGCAAATCTCTGCTGTTTAATTGCAGTGTTTACACCATTCACATTTAAAAAATGGTTGAAGTGAAGTTTACATAATATGGAAATAGCCATTTTTAAGTGAACAATTTAGTAGTAGTTAGTACATTCACAATGCTGTTCATCCACCACCTGTCTAGTTCCAAAACATTTTCATCATTCCAAAGTAAACCCCTTACCCATTAAGCAGTTTCTCCTCATTCTCCCCTCAGCCCCACTAAGGAAGGCAACCACTAATCTGCATTCTATCTCTATGGATTTATTTGTTTTGGATATTTCATATAAATGGAATCATACAATATGTGACGTTTTGTATATGGCTTCCTTAGCATAATGTTTTGCAGGTTCATCCATGTGAGCATTATTTGTACTTCAGTTTTTTTATGGTTGACTAATATTCCACTGTATGTATGTACCATATTTTGTTTATCTGTTCATTGTTGGATGTTTGGTATATTTACACCTTTTGGCTATTATGAATAGTGCTGCTGTGAACATGTGTGTACTTGTACTTGTTTTCAGTTCTTTGGGTATATACCTAGAAGTGGAATTGTTGAATCATATGGTAATTCTGTGCTTAACTTTTTGAGGAACTGCCAAATTGCTGTCTACAGTAGCTGAAGCATTTTACATTCCCACCAGCAGTATACAAGGTTTCCAGTTTTTACACATCCTCACTAACACTTATTTTCCTTTTTAAAGAATTATAGCCATCGTAGTGGATGTGAAGTGGCACTTCGTGTGGTTTTGATTTGCATTTCCCTAATGACTAATGATGTTAAGCATCGTTTTGTGTGCTTGTTGGCCATTTGTATATCTTCTTTGGAGAAATGTCTATTCAAGTCTTTTGCCCAAATTTTAATTGGGTTGTTTGTCTTTTTGTTGTTGAGTCATAAAAAGTTATTTATATATATTGGATACTAGACCCTTATCCTATACATAATTTGCAAATATTCTCCCTTTCTGTCGGTTATCTTTTCACTTTCTTGATAATGTCTTTTGATGCACAAAAGTTAATTTTTATTTTTAAGAAGTCCATCTTGCCCAACCAATGAGATGTGAGCAAAAGGGATGATTATCATTTCTGTGCCTGCTTTATCTGCCCTTCCTCTACCCTATTTGCTGGAAGATACTGAGAATTTTAATATTTACCTTTGCCCCAAAGATGGAAACTACTTGTTCAGGAAGGCAGAGCTATCCCACCAGTCCTGGACTGCTCACCCTTAGACTCTTACATGAGGGAGAAATGTATGATATTTAGGTCACAGTATTTTGGGGTCTTTATTATATCACCATAATCTACACCCTAACTTATACAACTCCAGTGTGCCATACAAATATTACCATTTTCTGTTTGTGCCATGATAAAGGTTGGGAAGCACCATGATCTGCACCATTTCTTCTTGGTCCCTTTTGCTAGCCCCTCCTCCTCAGTGTCATAAAGGGGAAAATCCTTTCTCTCCTATCCATCCAGGTATTTAGCTTATTCTGGCCCCAAGATAAACACTGAATACCTTTAATTCTTGTAGAAAAGTTGAGCATATAATGGGTGTTGGCCAAAGGAAGATATTGCCTTGCCTTGGGAGGCACCTGGGGTAAATAAAGGTTGGTGGGCCCTGGTGCTGGAAGCCCCCAGGCCCTGGTGCTGGAAGCCCCCCTCCACCAACCCCCCAGGAGTCCAGCACCCATGAAAGACTGTACCTGCATTATGGGTTGCCCTGGCATAGTGTTTCCTCAAGGGTTTCCTTCCTATTTGGGAGGCAAGAGCCGCCTCACCCAAGAAGACATTCTCATTGTTTCCGCAGCCCTCACAAGTCTTTTTCTCCTGCTCTGCTTGGCCTGAGACAAACAGCGATACCAGGAAAAACGAGCCTCTCAAAGTATATCTTTCAACTCTGAGCCCGGTTATAATGCAGTGAGCTACCAAAATTAACGTGAGCTGCTAGCTCCTTGGCTTGTTAGTCCCCCTGGACAAGCATCACCTGAGCGCTCCTCCCCTAGGAAGATCCTCCCACCTCTGGGGCTTGACCCCTTCCTTCCGGTCTCACCCCTACTCACCCTCCCCTCACCTCCTCCACTCCCCCGAACGGAGCTTATTCTTTTCCACTTCGGATTTCGGTCCCTTCCGTCCCACCCCTCCCTGCAATGCCCCTTGTCTGTGCAAGGGCACCACTTGGGACCCCAGCCCTAGATCTTCCAGCGGATCAGAGGACGGGCCGGGGCTTTCTTTGGCTCTGGGGCGTATCCGGGGCCGCCCCTCGCGCGCGTTACAGCTCTCCGAGCACCGGCGTCTCCCTCCTAAGCTACAAGCCCCAGAGCCCTTCGCACCTGAGCGTTTCCAGCCTTCTTCCGCACCCCCCACCTGCTCCAACTACATTTCCCAGGGGCCACTGCGGCCCGATTCAGTCTGGTGACGTAGCGGTGACGGTGGCTAGCGTTTCTCAGCGTGAGGCAGGTAAGTGTGTTTCCGTCCGGCTCTGGGGCGCTAAGCGGTGCGACCTGAAGCTCCAGAGGGGCCAGCCTGTGCGGGCCGAGGAGGTGCTGTCTCTCGGTCTTTGTCCGGGCGAGACGTGTACGTCCGGTTTGTTGGCGTGCGTTCGTCGGTGTGTCTACCAGGCTGCTCCTTCGAGTGTGTGTGTCAGTGTGTGTCTTTTTGTCTTGTGTTGCTACTAGGGTTGCGTGTGTGATGCCATAATAGCGTGTTTGTGGGGCCTACGCATGATCTGGTGTAGGGCGTTACCATGGGTCTGTGATTAAGGGGAGATTGTTGCAGCCTGTGTGACTCTGACGCTGTGTCACCACGTTGGTGAGACTGTGACCCTGTGTGGCAGTGGCAGTGCCAGTGTGAGCGTGCGACAGCTTTTGTGTGGCTGCCGCCGAGGGTAACCCTTAGTAACCCAGTGATTCCTTGGTGTTCGTGAAGTTCGTGAAGAGTTTCCTTTCTCTCTGCCTCAGATATGGCTGCCTCCACCAAAACAGATAGGGTGAGTGACTGAGAATCTGGCTTCCTTGGAGGAAAGGCCTGAGCCTTGCCTTTCTGCATTCCTCTTCCCTGTAGTGCCTCGCCTAAAAGTGGGCTCAAGCGGAGATATGAGTACCAATTTATGAAGCACGATCATGGCTCTCCCGGGCCATGGGTCTTTTCTAGGGTCTCTGATGCCTGCAGCTGTGAATCCCTCCTGCTTCTTCCTCCTTTTCCTCAATAGCCTTAGAGAATCCCTGGGAAAATGACCTCTAGGAGAGAAGGCAGGAATTTGAGTTTCAGTTTGAAGCTTCCAAGCACAGAGATTCTCCTGAGTTGCAGACTCGGTCTTGTAATGTGAATTCACAGATGTGGCCCCATATAGCCAAGAGAAGACAGCTGGAGTTTATGCTCCTCAAGGCCACACTGTCTCTTACCTAAAGAGGGCTAGTTTGGGAGTCAGAGAAACCTATATTCTACTCTGGGCTCCATCACCTCCAAACCATGTCATTTTGGATGAGTTATGTTAACCTGGTTTCCATCATCTGTAAAATGGGGAGAAATACTTAACATTGCACTTTTGTTTTGTTTTTTATTTTTTCCTTTTTTGAGAATCAAATGAGATAATATATACAAGTTCTTACCTAGTTGCTAGTATTATTGATTTTATTATTGCTATTAGAATTATTAAGGTGATTTAAACACATTGTTTGAACATCTCTGGTGTGTACTTGCCCTGTTCAGGAGAGAAAGTTGTGAACTCCGTCCCATTGAACCTAAGGCAAGTTCTGTGGCAAAATGCAGCCATTTTGTCAAGGATGCAGGCTGCACCTTGGTGTCTAAGGGACTCAACTCCAGCTTTTGAGGGTTTTTTGGGGTTGAAGAATCTTCATGTGTTATCAGGGGCCAGAGAAGGAAGTGGGGTGAGTTTCAAATTGTATGTTTGGAAGCTGCAAGACAGGCCTGCAGCCTTCTATCTCCTTTTTCCTCCTCCAGACCTACAGGGCTCTGTACTCCCCACCAGAAGAGCCTGAACGGAGAAGTTTGTACCATTTAAGCCTTAAAGCCATGGCCTAGATGAGTTGGTATCTTCCCTCTTTCTTCTAACACCATCTTGTTTATCATGACTTATGCACGACATTTTGTCTAAAGTTTGCTATCCTAACAGCTTTCTATGAGCAATTGGTCCTCAGTTCCTTGCATCCCTAGGGATGAGAGGGCTGAAGATATGTTCTCAATTTACCCAATTCTTACTCTTATCATCCCTGCTCCCCCCACCCTCTCTTCATGTATTTATTCAGGAAACTAATTCCACCCATCCAGGGAACTTTGTGCTCCCCACAACCCTGATGATGCAGAAATACACATCTTGGAGAGAACTGAAAACCTTTGTAACTTACGTTGTCATGTGGAATATTTACCAGCACATGAGGCACAGGCACTGCCAGAAAGACATAGGCCAGGGATGGAGCAAGGCATTAGAAGGACCCTTTTAAATCTGAAATGAACCCTTTCATTTCAAGACTGGGGGAAACTGGGGAAGGGCGGGTGTCCCAGGTTTTGAGTAGGTCATTTTGGAAGGTAGTTGGTGCAGCAGCTGTTTACCAACAGATGAATCTGTAAAACTCTAAGACTGATCCATTCTCTTTGCATTTTAACATTTCTGAATTGGGGATGCCTTTTTTTCAACCAATGGCGTCTTCAGTTTGGTGAAATACAGTAACATTACCTACCTCATAAATAGTAGTTTTTAAGGCCAAAGAGGAGATAGTCCTGAGAGACCTGACGGGGACCACCTTCTTTAGGAGGACTTTAAAAGAAGGTTTGTGATTGATGACTTTAACACAGAGATGTGGGTCAACGGGGTAGGGGTTTGGGCAGGGAAATGATAAGAGATGAAGCACAGGGTTCATTGTTATTCCTGAAGGGTCCAGTTTAAAGTTGATGCAGTTTGAGTAATGACCGTGTATGTGGAACTCTGAGTCAGCTTTACCAGCTCTCTGTCATCAGGGTGTAGTGTGGCCCAATGGACTGTTACAAGTAAGGAGCTGATCTCCTTACCTGAAATTTGGGGATTCCTTGGACAGGTTCCCAGAGGTCCTTGAACTCTCAGAAGTTGTCTGTATGGAGTTGCATATTGGGGCCTAGGTGTATTTTTCTAGGGATCAGATTTTAAAAATTTGACTTAATTCCCAGAGAAATAACCCGTGTCCTAGCTCAGGCTGATATAATAAAATACCATAAACTAGGTGGCTTACAAAAACATTTCTTAGTTCTGGACGTTGGAAGCCACATCAGGGTGCTAGCTAGCATGGTTGAGTTCTGGTGAGGACCATCTTCCAGGTTACAGACTGTTAGCTTCTCCTTGTATTCCCATGTGGCCCAAAGAGGGAACTCTGGTCCCTTCATCGCCTTCATCCCATTTATGAGGTCTCTATCCTGATGACCTAATTATCTCCCAAAGGTCCCACCTCCAAATACCATCATATTGAGGGTTAGATTTCAACATAAGAATTTTGGGAAGACACAAACATTCAGTCCATAACAACTCCCAAAGTCTCAAGAACCCCTGGACTAGAATCCCAAGACTATAAGAACTGGCAAAGGTGTTTCCAATAATCTTGCCCTAAATCAGTGCCCTACAGTGAATGCATTGCTGAGTAATTTATGGCTTCTCTTTCACAGAAAGACTGGGCTTTTTCAGTCAGCTACCTCTCCATTGTTGGGAGGAGCAGGGTGCTTGTTATGAACATTTTCTTCTTTTGCTACAATCCTATACAACCTGTGAATATAAGCCCTGCTGGCCACCAGAGCCAGGTAATCAAGCGGCATCCCCTGGGCAGCAGCCACAAAATCTGGGACTCCAGATGTGTGCACAGGCTCCCTTCTGGGAGATACCAGCAACATGGAGTGAGGCAGAGGGATAGTGCAAAGTTGGTACCTGCCAGCCTTTCTGATCTTTGGAGAGTATTTCAGTAGACCTCTAGATATGTGTTAAGTTAGAAGCCTGCCCCTCAGGCTGAAGCTTTAAGATAAGCAAATAGGCCTCTTTCACAGAAAGCCGGGGTGTGTGTTTCATGCTGCTACGTCTGTGCTGTTTCTTTTAAGAGCAGCCAGGTAAGAACTGTTTCTGTTACCGAACCAAACTTGGGTCTGCTTGCTTGTGTGCGGTGAAGCCAATCTGCTGACACTGGGTTGTGCTGAAGGAAAGTGCAGCATTTATTGCAGGGCGCCAAGCAAGGAGTCCAGGGCAGCTAGTACTTAAAAGACCTGAACTCCCTGAGGGCTTTCAGGGAAAGGTTTATAAAGACAGGGTGAGGGAGGGGGTTTGTGGTGTGTGTGATCAACTCATGGACATTCTTCTGATTGGTTGGTGGTGAGGTAATCGGGAGTCAGCAGCATCAACCTTCTGGTTCCAACCAGTCTGGGGTCTACATGCTTGTGGGCAGCAGAGAGTTAACTTCTTCCATGTGATGGGGGTTTCAGTATCGCAAAACAGCTCAAAGGACATGGCTCAGAATATCATTTATAGCCCTTGAGGAAGAACTAAAGGTCCTTGACTTTGTTTAATGGCTAAAGTATTATTTTTGTCTTGCTTGACTGTTTTCCTTTCTGCATTTTCTCACTTCTTTGATTAAATTTATTCTTTGACTGAAGTTTTTCTGTAGACAAAAGGCAGGAGGATGACATGGGCAGGGGTCTATTCTGGGAAGGCCTCACAGGGTCCTGCCCAGTTACATTTCTCTGTTTGTTACAGTCCAGTCCGATTGGCAAACTTAAGCCGTGCTGGCCATGAGAGCCAGGCAATCGAGGGGTGTACCCTGTGCTGCAGCCATCAAAAATCAGAGCACAGATGTGTGCACAAGCTCCATTCTGGGAGATATAGGCAACCTGGAGGGAGACTGAGGGAGAGCATGAAGATCGTGCCTGCCTTCCCAGATCTCTGGAGAGGATTACACTCAGCCCTTAGATATGTGTTTAATTAGAAGCTGGGCCCTCAGCCCACAGCTGTGAAGATAAGCTAATAGGCCTCTTTCACAGGAAGACTGGGCATTTCAGTCTGCTACCTCTCTGCTGAGCCCTGGGATGGGTAGCTAGTAAAAACAAACAAACAAACAAAACCCCTCTTTCTCCATTTATTACAGTCCTGTGGGACCTGGGAACATAAGCCCTGCTGGTCACCAGAGCCAGGCAACCAAGGGATGTGCCCTGGGTGGTACCCACAAAAACTGGGGTCCCAGGCATGTGCATAAACTCCTTTCCAGGAGATACTGGTGACCTGCAGCAAGATGGAGGGAGAATGCAAAGATGGCACCTGCTGGCCTCTGTGGTTTTTGGAGAGTATTTCAATAGGCACCTATATGTGTGTTAAATTAGGTATCTGATCCTCAGGCTAAAACTTTGCAAATTCACTTCTTTCATAGATAGTTGGGTGCTCATTATGTTGCAGGAGAGGGAAATGTCATGACCTGGGACCTGCAGGAGTCCTTAGG